AATTTAGTTTCTTGGGTGTATTGATTTACCCAGATCATTAAAATTACTAGTATTCCCTGCTTTCTTCATAAGCATAGTATTGTGGGCAGTGTTGTTTTTCCAGTTCTGGAAACGTAAAAACTCTGCACTTTCAGCCAGGTAAACCGATATCATATTGATATAAGGCCACCTTTCTTCAGCTTTTCTTATTTATTTCTCTCTCTCTCCCCTTCTATATATATATATATATTCTGCCGGGGTTGTGTAGGTGGCATCTTAATTTTTCTGTCGGAACAAGCCATGGATACAAATTATCAGGGAGGGAGTGGAACTGCCTACAGGCTCCCGTGGAACTTGTAAAAGGTTCGGGAATAGATAAAACAAAAGAGAAAGAAGATTTGCAAAGATACGAATGGTTTGGTTATCTCAGACGATTTAGGAACGATGTTATTGTTATTTTGAGCATCATTTGCCTCCAATTGCCATTTGAGTTGGATTATGCTCACCTCTATGAGGTCATCGAGTCCGATATCATGAAGTAAGATCCTAAATCTTTTTCCTTCCTTTAACTGTAATTGCTGTTATGGGAGTTTTTTTTCCTTCTATAGTATTTAAATCACATGGTTTTTATATGTGTCATGGTTTTGGTGTCAGGTTCGGGTTAACTGCAGTTTATCTTCTGGTTATTCAGTACTTCACAAAGATCGGGGGTAAGCTATCAATCCGACTCATTAAGCATGAAAACAATGGAAGTACTGAATATCAAGCTGACAGCTTGGTCTACAAAGTACGATTAGGAAGTAATATGTCAATTCAGTTTTCCTTCTTTTATTGTCGAGAAGTTTATTTGACAGGTAATAGTTATGTTTCAGGTGTTCGGTCTTTATTTTATGCAGTCATATATTGGTGGGTTTTCTATCATGCTCTTTTGCATCGTAACTTAATGATCCTTCGCCAAGTATTGATCCAGCGTCTCATTTTTTACGAGGTAAAGACAATCATTGTTTTTTGTTACTTTATACTTTGTGCTAATTACCTTACAACTTCTTGGACTCGAATGGTTTTGAACTGCAAAATGTCATAGATGTTGGAAAATCTATTGGAAAATTCTTTGCCATATCTGAAGTACAGCTATAAAAAGTTTAGATTAGTTAGATAAGATATTCCGATTCTAATGCATCTTAGTGTACCACATAAGCTGACATTTCACTCTAATGCATCTTTGTTGTTAAGAAACAAGAAAAAGCGCGAGGAAGGTTCGACTGGAAAGATACAATTTGCTACCAGGGTGGAGAAAAGAGTACATGAAACCCACATATTCTGCAAGCATCTGTGAAGAACTGGAAGATGGGCTGTTTGATGGTAATGTGCCAAATATGATTAAACTAATTGCACTGTTGTAAAGTTGTTCTATGTATTACTTTGATTATAAAGCACCACCCGAGAAAAAGCTTGCGGAACGTAGATTTTTCTTAGTGAAAGTTTAAACCACGTGGAGATTTTCTGGAGTTGGCACTTCAGGTTGGAATGATCATGATGTTTGCCTGTGCGTTTCCCCTTGCATTTGCATTCTCTGCCTTGCTATACAACATTTTTAACAGCGCTTTCATGATGTTGATTTCAGTTTTAAAAATAAAAACTAAATTTGATAGTTTGATGATGTATAGAGCAACATCGCCGAAATGAGAACGGATGCCCTGAAGCTGCTTGTGATTTTGAGACGGCCTGTTCCACGAGCTGCTGCTACAATTGGAGCTTGGCTGAACATTTTTCAGGTATTTTCTTTTTACCTTAAAAATTAAGGTGCCAAGACACCTGCTTAGCATGGGATTTACTGATATCTTTTAACTTCAAATTTCAGTTCCTAATATTGATGTCAATATGCACCAACTCTGCACTCTTAGTATGGTTATACGATCAGGAAGGAAAATGGAAAATGGAAAATCGAGCCTGGCCTTGCAGCCATTCTCGTAATGGAACATGTTCTGCTATTGATCAAATTTGGGTTCTCCCACTTTGTTCCCGAGGTATCTTCTCCTAGTCAAGCACATATTATTTCGAAGGTGATTGAAAGTATGCGAAGCACTGACCTCTTTTTCATGTCAGGAACCTGCATGGGTGAGAGCGAGGCTGATGAAGAACGCAACACAAGCTCAAGACGTGTTCTAAACAGCTTTTGAGGAGCATTTCTGGGGGAGAAGGCATTTGGTGGTTATACTCCGAAAACGACATCTGGAGCAAACAAAACAGATTAATGCAGAAACCACTGGTTGGTATCCTAGAGCTCCATCAAACTCATCGCCTGTCGAAATAAATATCAATAAAGGCGACGCTTCCATCAATCATTGAATCTAAGCTCCCTTGCAAAGATGTATGGGTTTTGCTTTTCACCCTTCTTTTTGCTTCATTTTTCCCTCTTGTAAATTATAGTAGTTTTTATTTCCGGATTCTCTGCAACTGTCTGGCTTATCTTCGAATCAGTAGAATCTCAAAAAAGTAGTGTTTTTTTTTGGCAGAATCAAGTTCTCAATGTATTTCAACAAAAGAAACATAATACTTAAAGAGAATTTCGGCAAAAGAAACATAATTTCATAGAATTTCAACAATCCAAAGAACTATATGCATAAGAATCCAAATCAGGCATCGATTAAAAAAAATACTATATACAAGGGAAACAGGTCAGCGACTGATTCATCTTTGGTTTGAACTCTACATCACCCAAAGATTTGATTTGAACCCATTTTTGTTCTTGCGTTGGATATCATCAGCAAATTCTCATAATCTCAGATGTACAGGCCTTCAGCCTTAAACTAGCCATAGCTACCGCGAGTGATGAGAGCTTCAGGAGCTCCCACGTGTCCCTAATTCTCTTGGTGCTCCCGAAACTTCCCACTAGCTTGACGAGCATATGCCACAACAGCCTTAGCCCACCTCTTGATCTCAGCCTTGAACTTCGTCGAATCGAGATCTTTTAATGACGACACCGGTTCAACCTGAACCTCCTTGAAGGAGAAACACTGGTTAAATCGTCTCCGCTTTCTGTTTGTATCAGTAACATTGCTTTTGACGACTTGGTCGCCATTGTTAAGAGCCAGAGTTTTGTTGACAGACATGGTTTACATATGTGCTATGAGGATCAACGAAGAATATTTGGAGTTTGAAATGATTGGTTGGCAGCCATTGATGGAACGTTTATAAGGGTTGGGGTATTAAACTTGGATAAGCAAAGTCGGTACTGTACTAGGGAACGTGCAGCCAAAGGAATCCTTTGACTTGAACTTTTCAACATTCTGATAGGATATAGGTTCCTATGAAAGTTTGGTTAATGCCATAATAAAGCCGTGTTCGACACCCTAATCTTGTGTATCTTTATAAGTTGGACTACTTTCATTAATATTACAAGTTTGGGTATTGCCAAAAATAATAATAAAATTTGTTTAGAAGATTTAGATACGAAATATAAAAATAAATAAAACTTCCGATCTCGATTATGATGTAAGGCTTTTCATCTTCTGTTTTATTTTTCCCTTTCTACCAAGCATAATTTAATTATAATAATACAAGTTCAAAGAGATCATTTTCAGTAAAGGGTGAGAAATAATTTACCCAAGAAAATTGTCCATGAAAGATATAACTTCCATGAATACGTTTCACAATGCAGCCATTGTATGCCAACAAGATAATGACAAGAAAATGATCAAAATTCTACCATAATATATAATTCGAAAAGAAAAAAACTAGCAATGACCATAATCTAGATGCAAAATCCACCACCCCACGATTGACATAAGTCAACTTCAAAAGCAAGTGTAAAAAATAAGTGTATAGAATGAAAATCACGGCGCAATACAACTTAAACTTGCCTAGCTTACTTCCTGCCACAGATCTTCAACGCTTGCCTGTTCCTCTTCTTGACACCTGACTTCGCAACTTTCAGACTCCTATGAACAGCACTCAGCCTTGCAAGGGCTTCTTTGGTTAAATCCGGCCTGTAGTAGTTTTCTGTCACCTGAAATTATTCCAAGCATAGAACATTAGGAGGGCAATTTGTAATTGGACTGTATGGTGAGACAAGACTAGATAGGAGGAAATTGGAAGAACATTACTGAAAACAAAGAAATTGAATCTCAAAATATCATAAAAAGACAACAGGATTTCATGAAAAGAATTAAAGAATATCATTAAATATATATATACTCCTATAAAAAAATTAAATATATATACTTTTTTTGATAAGATTGAATATATATATACTCAATTTCCCCCTTGATGTTAAGGTAGCTAGCTTATGTTATGCCTGCTCTTGTGTTATGTACCTTTCTCTTTTGCATGATAGGGACATTATACAAAAAACAAATATGACAAAAGCTAGCAACATAAACTTTAGAGGGGGAATTGGGCACATGTGTGCGCACACAGATTTTCAATGATATTCTAAAATTCTTTTCAGCAAATATTCACTGTTTAAACGTTGGAAGCTCAGAAGCCAAGCGTAACAACTACATTTCAATGAAGAATCCAACAAATAGATCCTTCTTACATGTTATTGCTTCATCACTGCAACACAAATCTTCCAAAAAAAATAATTTTGGATATGGACGGAAACCACACCTCTAGACAAATTAAAAAGGGACATAATACAAGAGCAAGCATGACATAAGCTAGCTACAGTAACTTTAGAGGGGGAAATTCCACATGCACACACACATAGTACAGATTTGCAATGATATTCTAAAATCCGTTTCATCAAATATGTATTGTTTAAACTATGGAAGCTCAGAAGCCAAGCGTAACAAGCAAATTTCACAGAAGAATCCAACAAATAGATCCTTCTTTCATGTTATTGCTTCATCACTGCAACACAAATCTTCCAAGAAAAAATAAAATTTGGATAAGCACGCAAATCACACTTCTAGAAAAAATTAAAAAAGGGACATAAAACAAGAACTAGCATGACATAAGCTAGCTACATAAACGTTAGAGGGGAAATTTCCACATGCACACACATAATGCAGATTTGCAATGATATTCTACAATCCTTCTCATCGAATATGCACTATTTAAACTTTGGAAGCTCAGAAGCCAAGCGTAACAAGTATATTTCACATAAGAATCCAACAAATGGATCCTTCTTGCATGTTATTGCTTCATCACTGCAAGACACAACTTCCAAGAAAAAATAAATTTTAATATGCAAACAAACTTCAAAACCACACCTCTAGACAAATGGTCATTCAAGCAAGCAATTCAACAACTTTTGTCAGCTAGTTTAAGAATTAAAATTAAATAAGCAAAAAAAAAAACTTCTTTCAGCAACAATGACATTAAGCAAGAAAAACAAGATTTTATCTGCCAAATATCAATAGCAAACCTAGGAAAAGAATACGTAGATATGCTTCAAAAGGCTCTTCCTATATACCTGGTTTTTTACTGCCTTCACCATCCTGGGGAACTCCATTTTCATGACAGATTTGTGAAGCAAGACCGCTGGCTTGTTCTGCTTCTTAGTCTTGGTGGTTGCTAGCAGCACAGACTGATCTTTGCCCCCGGGCTGAATGGTTACTGTTTTCTTGTTTGCCAACCCTAAAATTACACGGATCCAGCAAAGAACAAGTAAAATAGAACTCAGAGAACACATTTCGAGGTTCAGAATCCGGGGAAATTAAGGGATTAAACAATATATAAAAATAGAAATACGACATCATGTTTACACTTGAAACCATTATCTAGACAAACACAACCTTACACTGCTTTAAGTTCCACATCAATTACAATTTATATACAAACATTTGCATATTCATACAACATAATTTTCATTGCAGTTTTACTCAACAGTGTCATTTCTTTTTGCAAAAAGCCTAAGTTCAATATAATCAAATCGTCCATGAAAAATGAAAAATTGAAAACTTTGGGATCAAAAGAATACCAGAGTGTTTGTAGGAGTTGAGATTGTAGAGATTGTTAGGCTCTTTGCTGAAACGAACACCAGCAGTTCCTCTTCCAAACTGCTTCACCAAAAAGCAATTGTTCTTCTTCACTACTTCCCAGATTAACTGTCCTGGAACTGTCGCCATTTTCTCTCCACCTCACTGCACCAGATCCACCACAAAAATGCACCCCTTTGTAAGATTTGGAACACTCTAAAACAAATGAAACAAGATAAAGAATGAACTAATAACACTGCGATAAGAATATAAAAAGAACCTGTTGGTTCCTAGGGCTTATTATAGGAAGACTGAAGCCGCGGCCAGAATCAAACAAATCTATCAATTTATGGAATCCTTTTTAGGGTTTTTAGGGTTCCTTTCTAAGGTTGAAGGTTGAGTTTTGGGCTCTTTTGGTTGTGTGGAACACATTTTTACTTTAGGAAAACTTAGATTTTTTTTTTGAAATAGGAAAACTTATATTTAAAATATGATATAATGCGAAAATTAGCCTAAACGTTTACTCGAAAGATTATTTTACTCTTTATTCTTCTTTTCGGAGTTTTTAGTCCTAGTTTTTCAAATTTTTATCAAATTGATCTTTATTGGATGAAAACTATTAGTTGACTAACAATAAAAGTATGTTTTTTATGTAACATTTGTGCATGTGCTTTATTGCTAATATGTCACATGTCATTCATTACTTTGAGTAATGTGGCATATAACACATCATCATCTTAGATGACACCATATATAACACGTTAGTAATTAAGCACATATAAACATCACATCGACATGTGTTTATCATTAATTAACTAACGATTTTCATCCAACATGGATCATTTTGATAAAAAAAAAAAACATTAGAAATTAAAGTACTAAAAAATAAAAATCAAGATATTTATTTTAAAAATATTTGTGAGTCGAGTTTGAACCAAGCTTATACATAAAATTAACATACCTTTTACTTATTCTGTCGGGTCCAGATGAAACGGTCATTCCTATTCTCATGCTCGTCGAGAATCATCACAATCCTCGCCGGTGGTTTACTATCCCTGCAGTACCTGCTGCATGTAAACTTCTTTTCACATAAGATAAAGAGAATTCCACAATCCGAAGCTTCAAAAGGAAAGGATAACCTACTTCCCATTTTATAGCTTCATCCTTTTTACATTGCTCAATAGCAATCCTTGGAGTCTGATTCCAAAATTACATTCATTTCCCAGCTATCAAAGCATCATCTGTTTCAACTTGCTTTCCCCTACCATCCACAACCCATTTCTTGCAATTGCACTCTAAACATTCACAACTGCACACTCCTCTTAACAGCATCCCCATTTATTCTCCCGAAAATCTCAGGAAAAGTCATGAAACTTCGATGAACTCTCATGACAGTAATTTTCACCCTCATTTTCATACCACAATCCTAAAGAAACCACATCATTGCAAGCCATATGACAACATTAATGAACATACAAGCCTATCAACTTATGAGCGTATGCAAGGTATACATGTTCATTGTCAAATTGTTGAGTTTTTAAACAAATTCTGCCTTGTATTTCCCCAAAATTCTAAAAAAAAAAAATCTATCAACTTATATGTTCTAAAATTTGAAGAGAAAGAAAAGGGTAAATTATCCAAGTTCTTTTTCCAAATCTATTGAATAAACTCAAAATAGAACAAAGGAAAGATGGAATAAGCAAGACAAAGAAAATTCATCTAAACTTCCAGGTACAAAACTGAAAAGAAAGAGGCTTTAGGGATTGGAATAAATTACCAAATCATAGTCCCAAAGCCAAAAAAAATGAAAATGTACAATTGCCAAAATTTAGGTTATTTAACCCTAAACCAACCTGAATTCATGAAAAACACCAAGTCATGGATCTTGTCTAATTCCCCCTTCACACACTTCATCTGATGCTACATTTTCATATATTCAAAGCCAGGGAAGACATGTTCTTCATCATCCTTCATAGTCTTTTAACAGTTTCCTTCTACAACCACCCAATTGTCTGTTCTGTTGGTTTTAAGATAAAAGGGCTACCTAACGGCTGCCGGATTCTTAGTTGAATTTTCGATGTGGTTTTAGATCGCTTACTCATGAATTGCCTGATGTTAAAGATCGATGCGATGGCCGTGCTCCGCCATTCAATGCTTCTTTTATCCTGCTGAAGACTAACTTCATAGTGATGCAAGCTATTACAGAAACTTTGGGCTTCGCGACTACCGGTTTCTTGATGGCCACACCTAGCTTCTGACCGGTCAATGAAGACAATCTTCGAATCTTCTTAGACAATAGTCCAGATTTCTTTCTTTTTTTGATTTACGATATGGGAATTGCAGTTGCAATTTTATATGCTTTCTAGGAACTCGTCCCCCTGAATTTCGCTTCGATGAATGGTCAGGTTCAGTGCACTCCATGGCAACTTCTTGACTCGGATTGTCACAGTAAACATTGTTCAAAGCCTCAACTGTTAGAGGATGACCTACTACGGCTTTACCATCCGATTTACTCACGAGGGAAACTAATGGAACATGCTGTGGTTGACACTCAGTTTTCACATCAATCTTAACATCATATAATGATGAATCGGCAGAATAAGTTTTTCCAGGGAAATCTGTCCTCTGATATCTGGGGTTTACAGTATAACGGGACTGGCAGTACACCTTTGAGGGTTAATGGAACCATCAGTGAGTACTTTTGCCTCCACTATTGACCCTCTCACACAATGATGCCGAGACTTCCAATCCCCGAACCCATCAAGCTGATCTTCAAAAGTTTTGCAGTCAACTTTCTGATCAGATCCCTGAGAAAATCAATCCAAATGATTTATACCTCCCACATAAGCATTTGGTTCATCAATCATGTCAGCATATTTTCTAGGGTCTTGTTTTTGTTTTTCACTTATTTGTCTCGACTTCCTCTTTCCTTTTAACTGACACTCTGCAGCACCTTCCTCTGTCCTCCTGCTAATACTCACCGATCTGGAATAAACAGACTCATTATGCTTCTCAACTTCAGCTTGTCTTCCCATATCACCAACTTCAGGTGTCTCGGATGAACACGATACAAATATTGGAGTTAAATCTGCCAGAATCAAAATCGATATATCAATCTCCAACTCTCCATAGAGGAAAAAGTATATTGTATTGCAGCAAAATACAAGAAAGAGTAAACGATAAAGGAATCAGGTTCAGTTCTTTATTGTGTGATAGCATAAACATCAACATGTTTAACATCCAATTCATGAACATGATAGGTCAATTTTTACAGTTAGAGAATTCATCTCAAGCTTATACAGGTCCTAATGATATAGTGCACAATACAGTTGACAACACTGATTTAGACAGTCCTGCTATGGCAGTTCATTACTTATGGCCATTTAGAAGCCCTAAAGAGCCAAACAGGCTTGAGTCCAGCTAATTTGATCGGTGAACAAAATTTTTGAACAAATAGACCAGTTGATAAACAGTTGCTCCAAATGTTCTGAATTGCCAACACACTCATGTATGTGTGTGTCTTTCTCTGTGTATGTACTTACAGAGGCACACTACTGCTAAACACAGCTCTCACCACTACAAAAGCTAAACAGGCAGGAATATTCCGAAGGATCCACACAAAACCAATATTATGCACACACATTAGAAACATAGTGAACAATGACAATTCATGTAATAAAAATTAATCTAAAATATACATTTCCTACTACCCACCAAAAGTAACACACCCCAAATAAAATCACAATCAATACGACAACAATTTATAAAGGCAGCATGATATGTTATGCAAAAATTGCAGTAATAATAAGAAATACTATAGTTTATAAATGTTTAACCCATAATACCCGCAGATGGTGTATCTTCTCCGAAAAATGGCACATCAAATAGCCTGTCAGAAGATTCATTCTCGGCCAACTCTGATCTGCTTGAAATTTCATTGTTTTTAAGTCTTATTATTTGTTTGAGAAGCATCAGCAGCATGTTCTGAAACATTTGAGGCACCATTCTCACATGAAATTCCATTGTTGTTGTTGATTACTGCAGAAATAGTTTTCCGTGATTCATTAGAATCCATTCCTGAAACCTTATTGTCATAAAGTCCCCTACTGGACGAAGTACTTGAGCTTGGAAGTTCATCACAAGCAACTGGAACTGGAACCATAGCTGTACTCTCCAAAACCTTGGTCAACGGTCTGCGGCGGTTTTTCCTTCTCAGAATTTCATGAACATTCGCCACTTGAGATTTCTTCCTTCTCAGTGATGATGAATGGTTTCTGCTATCATTTATTGGACCTCCATTATACAGGCACTTGCTAGTGCTTGGTCTACAAAATGAAGAATTCTCTTGTTGATCAGACTCAAGCAACCCTGCAGCCTGGACTTTTCCTTTCGATCATACAATCATGCCTAGATCCTCAAGTCCTTTCATACATTTGATTCCTTCTGCTCCGTCATCCTCTGAATCATTGGGGGTTTTTCTTCTCTTTCCCAGCATAGAGCGCCTCTTAGTACCATTAATAAGATTTGTCTCTTCAAAGGATAAGCCAGACTGTGATAATTCAGGAGCTGAGTTCGAGTCATCCTCAGACCCACTCATTCCATCCTCATTTTCTTTCCCAGAATGTGGCATGTTAAGTGCCTCTTTGGCTGAACAACCATTATCACCATCAGAATGATATTTTCTAGAGAAATAATCTGGATGATCCTTGCCAAAGCATGCACTCCCAATCTCAAGAGCATGGAGAATAGCATTATCTCTTCGAGCATATTTCACTGCCTTCTTGCTAGAACTTGCTGCCGAAGCCTTTGCTTTCGCAATACATTCATTATATTCTCCACACCGAAAAGCCTTTACCCGCTTAGACTTTTCAAGATTGTACCAGTCCCTAAAAAAAACAATGAAATTTTATCAACAGAGAGAAAGATCATTGACATTGACTGAAAGGCTTCCTCTCATTCAACATTTCAACCTTCAAAGACAATTCAATTCAAGATTTTCTTAAATAGGGCGAGAGGTGATTCAAACATTAATTAAAAGAAGAAAATAAAAAAGAACGCAGCTCTGACAGGACTTTACCCATAAATCAATCAGCAATGAACAAGGTCTAAAGATAGACATGATGAGACGATAAAGTTAAAACCTTGAATCTAAATCACCAGAATCTAGAAACAAAAACAACAACCAGTTTCACACAACTTGGATAATGTCGGTATTTCCTATAGAATCAATACATAGTCTCAAGGTCACAAGCTGTGACAATTATGAGAAGAGATGGTTACAACCTCTACTAACTTGGGACAGATCAAACACTGACCCAGTGAACTGATTTAGACATTTCTCTTTCGAGCTCAGCTAACCAATGCACATAAGCTATAACAGTTTAAAGACACCACACCACAACAGGGGGTTGAAACAAAAAGCACTAAAGGGATTATATGCTATAACAATGCAGACACGCAACCAGTCAAAGAATATCAACAGTTATTGAAGAAAAAAATTGCCTCAAGTGACTAAAATTTCTTTTGATTATTTGTACAGAAAATTGTATTCAAAAGACAAAACCGATTGAGTTAAATGGTCAATATCCAAAAACAAGAAATACAATGCACCATATTGCAAATGCTGAGTTTTCCACCATATGTCTGCAAGTTCTCCCCTCCTAAGCATCTGATAATTGATTGGCAACACTAAAAGAAGGGTTCCAAAACTGCTAAACAAAAGGACTTCATTAAAATGCAAAAAGAAAAGGACCCACACGCTTGCATCTTCTCGACCAAGAAGCTTAACAGGAGTACCGGATCTTGGAGATACTAAACAGTTTCCAGAGAGCTCGTCAATGCCCATAATCCGACCCGGCCACCAGCAACCGTTTCTACGTCGGACCCAAACCAAGCCACACATCGATGCATCAATGTTCTTTCTGTTGGGCTCATCGGGGCTCCCCATCAGACCCCCCCCCCCCAACAAATAAATCCTCCTAAAAGTGTTCTAAAAAAACCTGATCCTTAAAAGTCAATCCTTAAAACTCCGTTTAAAGGAAACCTCAGACCCTAAAATCACCACACACAAAATAGTTGACTGCTCACACAAATGAATACACCATTCAAAACCTGGATTTTTTTTTAAAAAAAATCATTAAAAAACGAAAGCTTATTCCTGCATGCAACTTAAACCGTCAAAAAAACCCAGAAAAGAGAGGCGTGAAAGAGAGATAAAAACCTAAGCTAGCACGAATTTATGCTGAAAAAGGATCTAGATGCCAAAGAAAAAACAAACCCAGTTTAAACCAAACAGAAAAAAAGATCCGAGTAACTTATTTCTTCCTTCCTGAAAATTACTTTGTGTGTTTACATTCCCACTATTTAATTAAATATCCATTTTTTCTGGTTTTTTATTCTTTATACTTCAACATAATTGTAAGTTCTGTTAACTTCAATTTCTTTCTTAATCAATAACTTTGTCAAAAGATTTCACTGGGATTTTCGTCTCTGCAGAGTAAAGAGATAGGAAAAGAAGAGCTTTTTTACGAAGAAAACGAAGAACGGAAAAGGCTTCTCTATTTGGACTTGGAATCATCAAACAAAAAATCAAGAATTAAAACGCATATTTAGTTTCCCTTTGGCTATTTTGGTTGAAAGGTGGGAAAAAGAAGCCAGAAAAATTCGATTGTAAAATTGTTCTGGTAGTGTACTTTAATTGTGCACGTTGGTAACATACGAATGTTTTCCGAACTGCTGACTTGCAATTGTTGGTGAAATCAAACGGTGGGTATTACTTTTTCATTCTAAGAAAATTAGGAAATTTTCAATTATTTGTCCACAATAACAGAGTAAAATAAGTAAACAAAATACATTGACCGGTAAGAAAATGACAAAATGTAGCAGACATCCTTGGCCTTAACTCTAATAATAATAATGTTTTATTTCCAATTAATGTTGTCAAAGCATGTGAGAAACACACTTAACACTGGAACTTAACAATTTTCTTATGGGTAAAGTATTACAGGCAGGCCAAAAAATTAAAATGTTTCCTGTCCCAACCTTACAACTATCATCACACATTGCTCATCCAAATTTCTATTCCTATTCCAATGAAATTATAAAATAACTCATCCATTTATATGTCTTGCACTAGGCACTACTACAACATTACATGTATGTTACAATAAGATCGGCCATGCCTATTTTTTTATCCGGTAATGATTCCCACGACGATACAAATAAGTTGATAGCTCTCCAGTTTTCTTGCCATGGAGTGTAAGTCTTGAAATGGTGGTCATTGGTACTGATCCACAAGAAATAACTTTTATTTTTCTATACGCATCCTTGATCAGTCACGGCTTGAGCGATGGCCAGAAAGGCGGAGATGACAGCTCCGTGTAGCAAAGCCCTGTTAAACGATAACGAGGAAAGAGAGTTTGAACAATAGATTGCTTAGAATTCAAAATAACATGATATCAGTAACTACCTATGTCTGTACGACTCTTCGAGTACCCTTGTTTGATGATATTAAGGACATGAGTATAGAAAAAAATGAATTGCTACCATGTCGGTATGTTGGCGGACATACTGACATGGTATCCAACACTTGCACCCAAGTCTGAAATAGCATACATTACCATATCTTAGGTTCTCAAGCAATGTATTTCCAGCTATTATACATTCCTAAGCCTGCCAAGATCTTTAGGAAAGTATAAAGATGATCACCAAATAACCACACTGCAAAGATTGGCAATAGAATTTTTCTGGTCCAGAGCAAAACAGTATAAAATGTATAGTAGAACTGAACTCGACTTTAATCAAAACAGTCAGACAGCATTTTGGTGAAAGATTCTGGTAATACCAGATCAGCAGCATGTAAAAATTTGTGTTTGATTCATGTGCCATGCACCAAAGGAAAAAGAAAAAATTAATGAGCAAAAGGCTTCAACTATGAAGGTAGTGTTAGGGCTAACGCCGAAAAAAACTTACTCAGGACTTTCTTTTTGATAACCGAAATCATTTGCTGCTTTGAGTGCTCTATTGAATGTCTGTTTCATTGCTTCCTGCAAGTTAATAAATAAGCAGAGAAAACAATCTTCACCAAATTTGGTCATAACTAGATACAAAACTACTTTGTCAAGTTTAAAATGGAAGAAATCTTAAAGTTACGACTGTAAAACCAAAAGAAGCAAACTCAAATTCGCTAGTATCATACTGACATTATGTTTGCAATTTCAATACCTCCTAGCACGAAAAAGATATTGTAAGTTGTATACATAGAGTTACCAAGAATTGACTATTTCTAAGTTCGAACATATCTATTACACACTAAATTCACCTTAGGATATCCAAATAAATGGCTTGTGCTGAAGCAAATAAAGGGAAATGTAGCTCAAGATTAAGTCCAATTACACACCCTTCAACAAAGACATAACTAAATCTTACCTGTAATTTAGATTCGAAGTCTTCCGGAGACCAATGCATTACATTACACTCATGATTTAATTCTATTTCTCCTGCAACAACCTGTAATTAAGTGTCATTGAATCAGAAAATAAAAGTAAAATTGTAAATAACATTAATCAATCAAAATTCATGCTAACAGAATGAATAAAGAAATTGAAAACAGTCTTAGCTTCAACCTCTATCTTCAAAATATTTGGCTATACCACACATAATCATCTAGATCATTCCAAAAACTCAGTCAGAGGTACCACAAACCTAGCCAAAAACATCCTAAACCAGCATATCTGCCATTCGCTGTTAAAGCTTAAAGATGTTTCTCTTGTTGAAGAGAATGAACTAGTTTTTTTATTGGCATTTGGATCTTAAAAAACCCCATAATTTATGTTCAATTTCCCTTTTGCTATCAAAGTGAGAATTGATGGCTCCCTTCTCCTTTCAGAGCATCATATTCCAATACATATGGATATGAACAGTCCAAAAAATTCCCGTTATGCTTCAAAAATGCATATATTAAATTCACAAGAATTGAGGGTTTGACCCCTCAACTCTAGAATTGCATATTCTTCCCATATCATTACAGAATTAAGAAATTACTTCATGAACATTCTTTTTTCTTTAGAAGGAAAGTCATGTCTATTCTAAATTTGAGCAAAAGCAGATGAAAGGAGTGCATCATAATTAAACTATGATAATAAAGATCGATTTCATCAAGATAATGTTGAAAGTAAAGGTCGCACTCCTCCAGCAGCGGCAGCCATGGCAGGAGCAATGATGACATTAGCCTTCTTCAATACATCAACTGCTTCAGGAGTGCAAGGCATGTTGGAGCCTAGGAAGACCACAATAACACAAGCTATTAGCTAATATAATTTGTAAAATAATTCTTCCAGTAGAAAGATATAAAAATGTTTTGCAATTCATATTACAGACTACTACCTTCTACAAGTATACGACAACCTGAATTAACCAAGTTAATGGCATCAGCCTGATCAATTTCATTTTGAGAACCACAGGGAATTGCGACATCACACCTTTCATTCCAAGGCTTTGCTTCATCATAGAACTTCGACCGAGCATAAGTCTTTGAATAATCTCTGCATACTCAAAATTTAAAATAGCACCTCTCAGGAATCACCAAAAGAAATGAAATTTACATTTTATGAATGGAAATGAAAGTGAAAAAAACACACCTCAAACTTCTCTGTTGTGCTTTGAGATCCCTCAAAAATGATATTTTCATATAATCAAACCCATCCTCATCAACCAAATATCCCTTTGAATCTGTGCCACATTTCAGGCACAGGCATGTGTTAAGATGTGGACAGCTGTTTCAACCTACCATTATTCACTGATCTATACTAAGCTAAATGTGCGACCAAATTTATTTGCTTGCACGAAGACTATTATATGTCATGTAATATCCAAATAATAGCATCTTTCAAGTTTCATTTCACAGTGAAAAGGAAAAAGTATGTATGTTTGCTGTCAGGATCATTTTCCTAAATTAATTTAAAAGGGTTTAAAGAATGCAAGCGTAGAGCTACATGTCAAGTAATGTAAAATGACCTTGGCAATAAGAAAAATGAACTTGAATACAAAGGCACTTTTCTGAAGGAAAACAAAAAGGATAAGGTCTTTCGAGCACTTTGAAAAAGAGCAGTGAGGAACACCGGGTTAACACAACTAAAACACTTGCAAACAAGAAATAGACAAATTAATATTCTTATCTCAATGGTCAATGCATTAATAAATGGCGCAACTGTCCAGAAAAAAAGGAAAAAGGGAAAAGAAATTAATGATTTTACAGAAAGAGCCCATTTGGCCTCATCATGAGAAATTTTCATTAAAATAAGTGAAATCTGCACTGTGACCATCTTTTAAGCTAGAATGATAATAAAACCGAAGGAATCATGTAACAATCATCACATAAACTAATGCACAGAAAGATTATATGTGACGACTTTCCAGATGTACACAGTGTGGAATGGACAATTACCTGATACTGTAATCGGAAGGGCACCAACAGCAACAAGCTTTTCCAGAACATGCATTGCAATCTTTCCAAAACCACTTACAACACATCTGGAGAAAGATTCAGGGAGAAAGTATCAATGTCAATAATTCAGTGAAACAACTAGATTTGCAATAAATCTACTTTTTGGTAATATCAAGCCACTACCACGTCTTGAAAGAAAAAGGGAAAAATAGAAAGTGTTATTCTATGGAGAAAAGTCCACATTTTTCCCGTTTGCACAATTTTTCGAAAACTCTACAAAGAACTGTGATAGACAACAATGTTTTTGAGTATGGCTAATAATAAGCATCAAGAGCAACCTAAGTCCTTTGATATCTTTATTCAACTCCACAAGAATGAGTCGGGCAAAGAAAACCTGCAGAAATAAGCAAATTTTATCAAGTCCCAAACTATCAGAAAGTGATATGTACATGGAAACAACGGCACCCATCTTATAGACGGTATTCCAACAGTGAAGTACAATAAGAATCTTTCATTAAAAGGTGAAAACTCAGGTATCCAGGCATTCACCGTGATGTTTAACAACCTAACTATAATTAAATAGTATTGACTATT